TTGAAACTTAAACCGCAGTGCATATTCAAATTTGTCCCCCTCAGCAGACTCATATAAAATTCCTGCACCACAGTCGTTCTTCGTTGAGGTTTCGTCTACATACATTTTCCAAACCTGGTCAACATTATCCGGTTGCACCGGTCGAGTCATTTCAACAATGAAGTCGGCAAACGCCTGACCTTTCACTGCCTTTCTAGGTTCAAAAGTGATTTCAAGACTTTGCATTTCAATAGCTCATTTCAACATTCTACCGGATGACTCCAAAGTAGACATTGACCGCTTGAGGGGCTGGTCGGTGTAGATTATCACCGGATGAGCCAGAAAAAAAGGTTTCAATTTCTTGAAAGCCATATACAGGGCGAGACCAAATTTTTCTACTATGGGGTACCGGAGCTCAGCATTTTTTAGAACATGGCTAATGAAATAGACCGAAAGCTGAACACCGTCTCTCTCAGCAAGGAGAACGGCACTGAGGGCATGATCCGAGACGGGTAGGTACATATATAACACCTCTCTAGGCAGTGGGCTAACAAGCCTTGGCAAGGAGTGCAAGTGTTCTTTCAGCCGTTAAAAGGCCGCCTCAGCATCATCCCCCCATTCAAATCTGGTCTTCTTCCTGATTGCTTGGAAGAAGTAAAGGCATTTGTCACCTGACCGGATGAGGAATCTCCCCAAGGCGGCCAGGCAACCGGTTAGTCTCTGTTCTTCCTTGACAGTGCGGGGTGACTTCATGTCAATTACCGCCTGTATCTTCTCCGGGTTAGCCTCTATCCCCCTTTGATCAATCAGGAATCCGAGAAACTTCCCAAACTCAACACCAAAGATGCATTTCTTAGGATTTAACATAACCTTATGCCGCCTGAGTGTGGTGAAGGTTTCTCGGAGATCAGCAAGGTGATCCGCCTGCTGCTTGGATTTGACTATCATGTCATCAATGTACGCCTCTACATTCCTCCCAATTTGATTAATAAAGATCGTATTAATCATCCGTTGAAACGTAGTTGGCGCATTTTTCAAGTCAAACGGCATCACATTGTAACAGAATAGCCCCTGATCAGTGACGAAGGCCGTCTTTTCTTGATCTTTCTTCCACAGGGGTATCTGATGGAAGCCGGAGTAGGCATCCATAAAGCTCATCAAGGCATGCCTGGCTGTCGAATAAACCAGGCTGTCGATCTTAGGAAGCGGATAACTGTCCTTGGGACATGCCTTATTGAGATCTGTGTAATCAACACACGTACGCCAGGTACCATTCGGCTTCTTTACAAGCACAACATTCGCCACCCAGTCGGGGAAATTACATGGCCGAATGAACCCAACATCCAACAGCTTTTTAACTTCGGTAGCTGCCGCTTGACTTCTTTCCTCGCCGTTATTTCTTTTCTTCTGCCGGATGGGATTCTTTTTAGGGTCCACAACAAGTTTGTGGACAGCAAGATCCGGGCTGATGCCTGGCATCTCTTCCACTTCAAAGGCAAAAATGTCTTTGAATTCTTTCAGCAGAAGGTGCAAGTTTGCACCCAACTTAGTAAAAGCAATAGTCCCAACCTTCACGGTACGCTCCGGACGGCTGTCGTCCAGAGGTATATCAATGTGTTCACCAGCTGGTTGGGGACGGAGCTCATCTGACCGTTCACCGGTCAGTGATTGCTATTTTTTCTCTTTCTTCACCTCCATCAGCATAGGTGCCTTTCTTTTCTTCCCGGCTGCTGGTGGGACTGGTACTGGATCAGCATCCTTGACATTGTCAAGGTCTATTGGTTCCTGGCCGTCTTGAGCCACGGTATCTTTGACCGCTGAGAGATAGCACTCCCGGGCCGTCTTCTGATCCCCATTCAAGAAACCAACAGAGCCGTCATCCCTCTCATACTTGATGAGCATGAGGGAAGGGATGATTACAGCTTTGGATTCGTTGAGGGTTGGCCGACCCAAAATAATGTTGTAGGCGGTCAACTCCTCAACGACCAAAAACTTGACGACCAGGTGTCGCCCTTTTCCTTTCTCACCTAGCCGGATGGGTAGATCAACCCTTCCGACTGGGTAAACCATTCCACCCCCAAAGTCAAATAAAGGGTGGGTAACCGGATGCAATCTGCTGTCATTGTATTTCAGCTTCTACAAGCACCGGAGACTGATGATGTCTTATGAGTTGCCGGTGTCAATAAGGATCCGTCCAACTAGTTGGTTGGCAACCTTACATTCGATGACGACTGGGTCATCATGCGGGCGGCGACCACTGCCCCTATCCTTCTCGGTGATCAGAACATCCGGGAAGGAGGAGCTTGCAGACACCTGCCCATCATCATCTTTGTCCATCTTTCGAAGATGGCTCTTATTCTTCTTCTTTGCCCCGGCTGGGGACTTAGAAATGTAGGACTTCAGCATTCCCTTGTAAGCCAGGCGGTCCAACGCCGGTTGAAGGCTGAAGCAGTCATTTGTGTCATGGCCAACTTCCTCATGGTATTGGCAAAATTTATTTTTGTTCCTTGATTGAATGAAACTTTTCATTAGATTCGGCTTCTCTACGGACAGTCGGTCCTCAATCTCCATGAGGATGGAGTTGCAGTCCTTGTTAAACTCGTACTTTGGGACGTACGGTTTAAATTCTTTCTTCTTCTTCTGGGACGGCTGGTCAGAATCACTAACCGCCAAGATTTCTTTTCTCTTCTTGCTCTCTCCTTTCTTTTTGGCCGGCTGGGCAGGCCGGCTGTCTTTTGGCTTGTCGGACTTCTTAGAGTCCGACTGGCTACCATGCGAGCAGAGGTTAGTAGCTTGAATGTAGCTTTCCGCCTCTCTCAGAGCCGCCTGTATGGTGAAAGCCCCTTTTCTGACTAGGTCGAACTTGAAAGTCGACCCGTCTCTCAGACCTTTGAAAAAGTCTGTAAAAGCTACCTCGTCAGACAGTCCTTGAATCTGAATTCTAATCAGATTGAACCGCCTGATATAGGAGCGCAGCCCTTCTCTCTCCCCCTGCTTAATGGTGCTCAAGTCCAAACTTGTTTTCTTAGCAGGGATGTTCATTGAGAAGTTGGAAACAAATAGGAAGGCTAGCTTCCTAAAACTATCAATGGACCCGGCTGGCAGATTACCAAACCATTGTTGGGCAATGCCCTTCAATGTAGCCGGGAAGCAACGACACCAAGTGGCATCATCCAACCCCTGCAGATACATGAGGTTGGTGTAAGCCATGAGGTGATCTTCCGGATTGGTGGTACCATCATAGGTACCAACCAATACATTCTAAACCTTGGCCGGCTGGGCTGCCTCGGTTATCTCCCGGGTGAACGCAGAAGGTTGTTCACCCAGGCGGAGCAGACGAAGCTGTCAGTCCAGTGGCTGGACATTGTGATATGCCGCCTGACCTCCGAAGGGAGCCGACTGCATATAGTAAGGTGGTAACTCACCATAGACCTGAGAAGGTACGTATGGTGCAGCCCCAATCATCTGAGGGCCAGAGTGGACGGTATTACCGCCTGTCTGACTCTCATGCAAGGAAGGTGCATTCCCCGCAGAAGTATTGTTAAAGCTGTCTGGAAAATTCGACGTAGAAGCCGATTCAGACAACTGCTGATTTCTCTTCCAGTTGATAATCTCCCGGGCATCAAGAGTTGATTTTTTACTTCTCACCAGCTGCTGAGTCCGGCGGGTGTTGTTGGTATTCTTCTTTGGGAGAAGAATTTTCGACAATCAATGGTCTCGGCTGCCTTCTCCTTTGGGTGAGGAGTGGGCTGCCGCTCTCTGACTGACTTCCCCTTTTCCAGAGGAGTCTTCTTGGCCGTCTGACCTTTACTTGGGCCAACCCGGCTCTGGGTGATCAGCTCTTTAATTTCACCCTTGAAATTTGTCATGAACCTCATGAGTTCGTCTCGGGTGATATGTGCTGATCCAGAGGCCGTATGGGTTTCCCCTTTCGGCTGCCCAAGGGGTCGACTTGTACCCGCCTGGGAGGCACCCCGCTCCAGAATATCTCTAGGCCGTATGCTCTTGGTTCTGAGCGAGCCATCATCGGCTGTAAAGGTTTTGACCTGAGGATCCTCATCCTCCTGGTCTGTAAAGACTTCTAGGTCATCACTCAGACGGTTAGGGGGTGGTACAGACTCTTGAACCATTTTCGAGGTACTCTCCCCATAGACGGCGCCAAATATTTTGGGTGTTTTTGTCCCTTGGGAGAGTTACAACACGAAGACTGATCCGGTGTGAGCTGTACCTGCGAAACAAACGGAGACACCGGTTGGGTGGTGCTCCGCCTCCGACGCACAAGTTAGAAACTTGAAGGGAGAGAAAAAGGTGCGGAAAATTTAGGTCCCATCTGCTCGGATTCCAAGCTCAGGTCTTTCTCTGATGTGAGAGAATGCAAGTGTAATCAATGATTCAATCTGTCCCCAAAGTGGGGAAATATCTCCCTATTTATAGGGTCCTTGGAGAGTGTGCCCCTATCTAGGTCACTTGACCTAACTTTCAGTGGACTGCGCCGTAAAACAGCGCTTCTAGGGATTTGGGCCCTTGAACGCTTTCATTTCAGAGGTGTATCTGAGGGTGTCATGTGTCAAGAGGATGTTAAGCCACGTGGGTGATCCTGAGCTCGACATGTGGCCTCCTCTCATTGGTCCACATGTCTAGGGTATTTTTACCCTAAACAGCAGTCTCTTTTTTGGGTTCAACAGAGATCACTTTTGTTAGATAGGCGGTCTCTTGATACATTTTATTTTTTTTTTAAAAAAAAATAATTTATGAAAACAAAATACTTCCTCCGTTCTGTTAATATTGCAACAAGGAGGAAATTACGCATCCCGAAACACCTTTTATATGCTAAATATCTATAATTGTGTAAGAGTAAAAATTATAAAAAGTTGATATTGTGAAAGTATTTTATGAGACGAATCCAACAAGATCCCACTTGACTAAATTTTGCTTAACGTATAACTCATATTATATGGTCAAACAAGAGTGATGAATAGTGCAAAAAGTCCATTGTTGCAATATTAATAGAACGGAGAAAGTATGTAGCATACAGTTTCAATTTCATTAAATAAATAAAATACAATATATATACAAGTAACATTTAAGTACGAGTATTATATAATTTGTAGTACTAGTATTAATTAAGTACTACGTTACAATGAGTACAATATGATGTAATCCTAATCTATTTTCATCATCGCCAAGTTCATATATATCGCCAACTTCATATCACCAACTCCATTAATTTTAGCTCAAAGATAACCTATTATGAAAGAAACAACAATAAGTTTAGATTTACACTGAACATAAGCAAAAATAAAAGATTTACACTAAATAGAAGTTATACTAAGTTTTTAAAAAAAAAAATCTAATTCATAAAACAAACAATGTAGAGATAAATAATGAAATTCAATAGCAAAAATTGAAAAAATTAACCAATGCTCAGTTATTACAGTTAGAAATAATACCAAAATTTACAATCTAGATAAAACAGCAAAACCAAAAAAAAGAAAAAAAAAAGAAAGAAAATAAAGAATAAAATTAAATTGAAAGTTAGATCTTAAAAAAATAGAATAGAAATTTAAAGGAAAACTTTTTTTTTTAAATGAACTTAAAATGATTAGAAACAAAATGAAGGTAAAAGATGTAATTAAATATAGACTAAACACTCATATATGCAAATACGAAGGAAAAAAACAAATATTGAATTAAAAATTGAAGAAAACGAAAATTATACAGAGTACAATCTAAACATGAAAATAAAAAATAGATCTAAATTTGTTTTGTTTACGAAATAAACAAAAATTGAAAACCAAAACTAAATAAAAAAAAATTAGATGAACAGATCATCAAAATTTCATGAAAACGATATTTGAAAAAAAAAAATTAAAAAAAAAAAAAAAAACTAGCAAAAAAATTTCAGATCTTTAAATTTTGTTAGCAGAGATAAAATATCTAAGATCTAAACATATATATATATATAAACCGGGAGTTTAAACCCAAAATTGAAGGATTTACCTTTGAATGCTAAAATGGAGATGATTGAAACCCAAAATTCGCTTCAGAGGAGAAGAGAATAAGCTTACAACTGCTTCAATGGAGAACTAAGAAGAAACTTCAGGAATCAAAACCACTCTTTTGATTTTTTAGACTGTGAGAAGAGTAAATATGATGATAAGTACTATGTACTTTCCATTTTAAAGATTGTGAGAAGTAGTATATCGGAGATGAAGAAAATTGAGAACAATGAAAAGGAAAAATGGAGGAGGGAGCAAATGAGAAGAGAGAGAAAGTGAAGTGGCAAAGGGGAGGCGGAGATCGAGTTAGATCAGAGATTACTCCACGTAGGGTTTTGGTGGTTTAAGAGGGAATGTTGAGAGACCCGTCAACCAACAAAACAGGGTGAATTTTTAATTTAAAATAAATAAAAATAAAATCCACTAGAGACCTGTTATCTACTCCACCGGTCTCAAATTATTTTTAATATTAAAAATAAGGCAAATTTCACATTTGCTACCAGGGAAAGGACCCTAATTCACATTTGCTACCCCTTTAATTTTTTATTTTATTTTACTACCACCCAAATCCCAAAATTTTAGATATCACTACCATTTGACGGATGCCGTTACTATTTCCGTAAGTGAAGCCCAACTACCGTCCAACCACCTCACCGCCACCGCTCCATCTTCAACCACCCTCATTGCCACCATCCAACCTCCATTTCCATCAACGCCGGTGCCCAAAGAATCCCACGGCAGCCGCGAAACTCCACCAGCAGCCCACCTCCTTCCCAAACGCCACCAACACCTCCTCACCTTCATACAACCACCAAGAACAAACCCCTTTCCCAGCCCGGTTCCAACGAACACCTTAGCTTCACACAACCACTAATCAAAAACGACCCCATTCCCAGCCCAATTCCAGCTCGAACCCTATTCACCCATCAGCGCAGAGGTTCTCTAGCCAGCCACAAATTAAATCGCAAACCCTAGCCACCCGATCAACCACCAACCCTCACGAAAAAACCAATCAGCCCCCTTTAATTCGTTTTTCGTTGTTTTGGGGTGGTGGTTTAGGGTTAGGGGAGGCCGAAAAACGCGGTAAAGGAAGGGGAGGGGGGTCGATTCGGTGGGGGGAACGGGGTTGGGGGCGGATTTTGGGGGTGGTTTTGGTTTCGGTTCGGGGTGGTTGGTCAGGGCAGCGAGAACGGGAAAAGGGGAGGGGGGTTCGCGTTGGCTGCGTAGGGGTAGGGGATAAGGAGGGGGTGGGCACGCGCCGGCGCCGGCTGAAGTTCTGGGTGCCGGCCGCCGGCAGGGGGGAGGGCAGGGGGTGGCAGGGGAGGGGGAGGGTGGTTTATTTTATTTATTTTAATTATTTTTTAATTTTTTAATTTTTTTTTATTTTTTTAATAAACTTAACGGAAATCGTAACGGATTCCGTTAAGTGGTAGTGAGTTTTAAAAAAGTCTAATTTAGGTGGTAGTAAAATAAAATAAAAAATTAAAGGGGTAGCAAATGTGAATTAGGGTCCTTTCCCTGGTAGTAAATGTGAAATTTGCCTAAAAAAAAAGAATATCACATAGACCACTTATCTTAAATAAGTGGTATCTTGAGTTTCTGTACTATGCAAGGATATGAAATTGGAGACCTGTTACTAATGATAAGTGGTCTCTTGGACCAAAGAGAACTGTTATGTAGATAACAGGTCTTTTATGTTAGGTCTCTTTGGCCAATTTTGTAGTAGTGTGAAATGGAATCTTATTCCTTTTCTTCGTTTCTTGTTTCCTATATTTCTTATTATACAATATCTCATAACCTTACTTTAAGAACCATTTCTTTAAGAGTCTTTGACTTTTATACTTTGTTAGGCATAATCAGGCAACTAGTGTGCCGTAAAACAAAGTTCCATCTTTTCCTTTAATTCACGCTTGAATTACTACATCAATGAGTCCTACTCATCTATGTATTTTAGAAATGCTTTTCTTTTATGAGAATTGTATTTTAGAATATTTTTCATATATGCAAATTCGAAGGAAAAAAACATATTTTTTGAATACATGATGTCCAACTGTCCTTAAAAGTCATTTATGAGAATTGTATTTTAGAAACGCTTTTCTTTTCTTTGAGAACCATTCTCAAAGATTTCCTTTACCAATCATGGAAAACAGTACAGTTTGATTTGGAATTCTACAAATATAAGTGCAAAGTATAACCATTTATCAAGTAAATAACATAATAAGTTTGAAAATTAAAAGGTATTCATGAAAATTTTCAATCTTATTTAACGTCTTATCCAGGCATTAAAATTGTCCCCATTTTGCGAGAATAAGTCGATTCCAGGATCCAAAGAAACAAAGAGTGGATAATCATGCTTTGGCTTGTCTTAACACTCAATCTCCTAAGGTAAGCAACGTTTTGCTAATGGCTCCAAGCCACTCTTGGTTAAATAAATCGTTGCATGTAATGCTCTCTCAACAATTTATTCACTTTGCCACGACATGTTAGGACTCCATCACTCATATCGTTAAGTACAACCAAAACCAACTTGTATACCCGGTATGCCTTACGTTCCTTGGAAAGGTAGTGATGCCTCTCTTTGGCGTAGCCCACAACTACCCTTGTTCGGTTGGTAAGTGTTGTTTTGGAATGACAAGTTTTACTCAATATTTAGGGACCTAGGGTTTCTATGTTGGTTGATTTAAGTGAACTTAATTAATCATCACAACAAACAAAATCCTAAACATGTATCTAACATATAATTCATATACATAAACATATATATATATATATCAAAAAACATAAATAGAGATGCATTTGGCAACTAGCATGACCCCTTGAGATCTTGAAATCTTCAAAAGGTCTTCATTTGCAACTTCATGGCTACGTCTTCCAAGAGCCTCCATCTTCAAGACTTTGACCATAATTATGCAATACTAGTATCTACGATTAGGACTAATCTAAATATTAAGGTACAAAAATACTCAACATTACGCAGACCATATTTAGATTTACAAAAATACATCACGGATCGCAGTCCATATTTTCTATCCTAATCGGGCCCCACTAGTTGCCATTTCATAAAACCTGTGAGAGAATGTACATTTCATTCATCCATTCACTATTTGTGAATGGCCCATGCATTTTGCAATAATAAACAAGTAACAATGCATAAACACGCGAGAACTAGTAACTAATCTAGGTGGTTATTCCAATTAACACGCCTAATTAAAAACTAGTCAAAGTTGTTTTAACCGGTTATGCAAATAAGCGCAGTTAATATTTGAAGCTCCCACTAAATTCCGCATCCTACTCAATTAATCCAATTAATTAAGCTGGTTAAACCAAAAATTCGTCAAAATAAATTTTGCCAATGCCGCTCAAAACCCGAGGCCTAGCCTCCAAAATTTTAATTAAAATAAATTAAAATAAACAAAACGGCCAAAAAGTAAAATTAAAACCGAGAGAAAAGTGCATTGACTACCCAAGGCTAGCACCCTTGAGCAGTTATATGCACGCAAGTGCCGGGCGCTTGCCTAGCAGCCTCAGCCTTGCGTGATGTGATGCTGTTGGGCACTGCCTGGCAGCGCCGCACTCGATGCACGTCTAGCTGCAGTTGCCTAGCACTGCTGCTACGCCTAGCATCTTCTCGCACGCCCCTCATGCACCAAGTCAACACATAGCTCTTCGCACACACCTAGCACCACACGCACCAAGCACAACATCCATCATTCCTCGGCCGCCACATGCGGGCTGTGCGAGCAGCCTAGCTGGCCGAGGGATGCTCATGGCTATTATGCCTTGGTTTGCGTGCTCGTGTCTCGGGATTAATTCCCAATTTTGTGTGACATTTCTAATCAATTATAACTTAATTTTAGAATCAATATTTTGATCAAAATAAATGAAAATAAAACAAGTCCAACTTAATTAATTCATTCAAGTGAATTTAACCAAAATAGTTTCTAAGAACCATTCTTTAATTAAATTGGTTTAACTTGGTGCAACAAAATGAAAAAAGGGCAATTTCTCACTATTAATTTTATCAATTTAAATTAATCTTGAGATTTTTGACAAAGTAAGAGAGTGTTGGAAAAATTAATCTTGAGATTCTCCGACGCTCGATTTCGACGCTCCATGCTCGAATTACCGACGTCTAAATATTTAATACTCGGGCGACGATTTAATTTATTCCGAATTAATTCGTTGAGTTGGTTCATTTAGTTCTAAGGGTGTGACCCGAAGGGATTAGTCAAGATTAAGCTGTAATATTAATTATGCATTTATATTACTGATCAGAAGCGGCCTCCATCTAGGCATTCCGATCACTTGACCTTACTGAATATATTAGCTTTCTCATAATTCTGAACCCACTAACGGAATAGTACACTTGTTTGAAGGACACCATTCCTTTCACGCAGAACGTTCTGAATCATTCTCCGTCCCTATCGCTACTTTGACTTTTGTTTTCGAAACTTGCGTTTCTCCAAACTCAGTCAAAGTGGGGGCTTCTATAGACACCCATTTGTGTCTCCCCAAAACCAGACCCAGTGATAACTACCTTTTACGTCGAATCATAATCGAATGAATTGAAAGTGTGGAAAGTCTAGTGATGCGGTTAGTTTTTAATTCTTTTCTTTCTCTCTGTTTTCGAATAATTATTTTATGAAGATGGCCAATCCAGTTTAGTTTTGTCCATGGAAAGGGTCCAATAATGGTGTAGTTGGATCGCGTTCGAAAAGAGCTTTCCAACGATATATTATAATCCCAATTCCGATGAATTATGAGAAAGTTATGGCCAAATTACTAAACTGGGCCCGGTTTGATTTTTATATGCGGCCCAATGATCTAGAGGAGGGCCTGTTATGATTTTTCATTCCTAATGCAATATGGATTGATTATAATCTTATAGAATCTTCTAGAAGGTTCTTTTGAATCCTAATTTGATTAGCATTGATAAATGGGTTTTTAGTGTTTTATTTAGAATAAAAGAAGTGTTTTTATGGAAATTACAGTTTTACCCCTCGTACGCTTAAATTTTATCAAAATAAGAAAACGCGTGGAAAATTTGATTGCAACGCCGCACTATAGTCTGTCGCCTAGTGATGGGCCTAGCGTCGCGGCGACACGTCTGTCGCCTGGCGACAGCCTTGTCGTCTAGCGACAGGGGCTTATTTGGCGACAGCGTCGTGTTTTATTTTTTTCGAAACTCTAATTCTATTTTTTATATTCATATCCGGATGATTTTCGTTATAAATAGCCTCATAAAACCTCCATTTTCAATCACCAACTCTCATCATGAAATTCTGGATATCCTCTCTTTCTCTTTTCTAAACTATCCTTTTCTCAAATATAAAATTCCGCATTCACAAGATCTAGACACACCTAGCATAAT